GAGGGTGCAATACAGAGTGGATCAAGCCTAAATAAATGATCTTAAAACATTAGTCTCAATTAGGCAGCAAAGAAATATATTTTCCCCATAAGTTGTCAAACTTTGAAACTTTATTTTGTTTTTTTGCACTATATAATTGTGTTCTCAAAAGAATAGCGACATAATTTTTAAAAAGTTGAACGCTTGGAACTGTGTTCTTTAATTTACATCTATAAAGAGTATACTTTCCCAGCAGAATTAAATTCAATGTTGCATTATCTAAGTGTTCATTGCCTAGAATAATATCTGTTAAGGACCACTGTGTGTTAACATCTGTACATTTTGAATTTATCCATAATTTTATATCTTCCCAAAAAGAAGAACTTGATTGGCAATCCCAAAATAAATGTTTTATAGTTTCAATATGATTGTTGCAAAAAGAACATGTATTAACATCTTTTATTCTCATTTTATGTAAAAGATAATTTGTTGCTAGTATCTTGTTATTAACTTTATACTGAAACCATTTTAAATGTGAATCCTTTTTTATATTAAAAGGGAGCCTATAAATGCCATTCCAATTAAAATCATTATTCAAATTGAGTTCATCTTCCCATTTTATCTTAGCAGTAAATGATACATTTGCTCTAAGAATATAATCATAGATTTGTCTACATCTCTTCTTTTGACTATTTATTATCTTGATCATTAAAGGCTAAATAGGCATTTCCTCTTTCTGATGTAGGTGTCTTAAAGACAGCTGATTTAAAAATCTCCTAATAGACTCTATAATGTTTTGATTCTCTAAAAAATTGGTATTTATATCAAACTTAGTTAAAAATTCATCAAATGAAAGCAAATTTCCTCTATTGTCTAAGAAGTCATTAACCAATATAATACCACAATTTACATATCTTGAGAAACAAACAGAAGAACCACCTATTTTAAACATAGAATTATGCCAAACAGGAAGTGAGCAAAATTCACTCCAGTTCCTGGGGTACTGCTTATGTAACTGTATGAGCCCAGTAAAAACATCTTTCCAAAACTTATTTTGCACTGTCTGAAGTTTATTTATCAAAAATTGGTCTCCATATTTACTAATATTTGATATAAATGGGTACATATTATTAACAAAATTATTTGGTATTATACATAAAAATTCTTCTTATCCATGTCAATTTTAGAGACATTATAAAAGTTTCTAAGTTTATCACTCTAAAACCTCCATTTTCATAATTCTGAAAAACAACATTTCTTTTAATTTTATCTGGTCCTGACTTCCATAAGAATTTAAAGAAGAAGTTTTGTACAGCTTTAATTTATCCTATATCAGGATTTGGCAAGCTAAGAATAAGGTGATTTAATTTAGGTAATGCTTATGACTTGATAACAACATTCTTACCAATAAGGGTAATAATACGTCTTGACCAATGGGTAAATAACTTATTAATTTCCTCCTGTTTAGATAAATAATTAGCTTGAGTCATGTTATTTAAATTAATTGTAAAAGTAACACCAAGTAGCTGAAAACATTCAGATTCCCACTGAAGATTTAAGTCCGGGCAAATTTTTTGAGTATTCCCTTTCATAGAACCAATCCATACTGCTTTTGTTTTATCTATGTTAATGTTTAGACCTGAAATTTTAGCATAAAATTTTAAAACTTGCATAGTGTGTCTTAGAGACTTAACAGTTCCATCAAGCATTATAGTTGTGTCATCAGCATATTGTGATAATAAAAATTCAGAATTACATGTATTAAGTCTGATACCTTTTATATTTGTGTTATTTTTAATGAGTAATGCAAGAATTTCTGCACATGATATGAAAATGTAAGGGGAAAGGGGATCGCCCTGACGACAACCGCGTTGTATTTGAAACCAGTCTGACAAATTTCCATTTATTGTAACACAAGATTGAATGTTTTTGTAAAATAACTTTACCCAACTTATGAGATTTTCACCAAAATTGAAAAACTCTAAAACTTTATGCATAAATGTCCATGATACAAAATCAAAGGCTGTTGCAAAATCAATAAGTAACAACATTCCAGGAATTTGATGATCATCTGTGTATTGCATAATATCATAAATAAGTCTTATATTGTCACCTATGTATCTTCCAGATAAGAAACCAGTTTGATCTTCACTTATAAGTTCATTTAAAACAGTTTTAAGGCGTTGGGCAATACTTGCTGATGCAATTTTGTAAGAAACATTTAATAAAGAAATAGGTCTCCAGTTTTTAATATAAAGGTTATCTTTGTTTCCTTTAGGGATGCATGTTATAACCCCCTGTTTAAAGGTATCTGATAATTCTCCTGTAACAAAAGCTTGGTTTATTGATCTAGTTACAAAATGGCCTAAATCATTCCAAAATCTTTTTTAGAAAGCCTCTGTAAAACCACTACTACCTGGGGAAGAATCATTTGACATTTTTTTGAAAACTGGCTAACATTTAATTATAAGTTAAAAGACCACCAAGTCCTTTGCTTTCTTCATCATTCAGTTTTGGTATGTTATTATTATAAAATAAAGCAGTAAGATTGACATCATCTGTTTCCCTTAAAGTATATAAATTTTTGTAATGACCAGCTACTTCTTGTAGAATTTTATTTTTGATCTGTAAGCAAAGTACATGATATATCATATAAAAGAATTCATTGTTTTTGAGACATAATTTCTGTTTTCCATGTTACAAAAATATCTTGATGGTTTTTCCCCTTCTGAAATCCATTTGGCCCTAGATCTTATAAAAACACCTTGCATTTTCTTATTTCGGAATTGAAGTAATTCTTCTTTTTTTTTCATCTAAAATCTGGACATTAATATTTGACTGTCTTTCTAAATTACCAATTTCTATCATTAATTTTCCTGAGTTTTGTCTTCTTGTTTTTTTATAAGATGAGTATGAAATAGTTTTTCCCCTAATTTCCATTAACAGAGTTTCAAAAAATAGTTTATCGTCCAGTATGAAATACCTTTTTTAAATTTGCCGAATTGAATACTTAATAAAATCATGGAATGATCTGTTCTATAACCTGGCACAATGTCAACACTACTCATATCTGTAAAAAGGTTATTTGAGATTAAGAAAAAGTCAAGCCTAGCTTTTTTATAGGGTTTCTTTTAAACCAAGTATACTGCCTTTTTTCTAAAAATTGTTCCCTCCAGCAGTCAATTAAGTTACATTCAATTATCATATCTAAAACAACTTCCCTGGCCTTAGGGTTATTTATGTTTAAATAATTAAAGTAGTCCATATTAGGATTTAACACCATATTAAAGTCTCCTACCATTATACATGGGTTCTCTAACTGTAAGATTTTCTCTTTTATATTGTTGTAGAAGATAGGGTCATCTCTATTTGGTCCGTATATACAAATTAAAGTGATATCAATATTTGAAATGCATGCATGTATAATAAGTAAATTACCATTTTGATCTGTTTCAAGACTTTTAAATTTAAAGTCAAAATTGTTATTAATAAATATTGCTACTCCTCTAGATTGACTATTATAATTACTGAAATAGCATTCATATCCCCACTGTGAGCGGATAAAATTAACTTCTTTATTAGTAAAATGTGTATCTTGTAAAAAATATACATTGTATTTTTTCCCTTTTAGGTAATTTAATACATCTTTTCTTTTTTGGCTATCCCCTAACCCCTGAACATTCATTGAGACAAAATTTATATTTTCAGTCACCATGTCAATAAATCCCTAAACAGTAATAATGTTTTGTCACACATAAACTTGGTCAGTAGCATTTTTTTGCGGACGTACATAATGCTTTTTGTCAATCATAGAAAGTCAGGCGCCAAAGACACGCCCCGCTTTGCAAAACTAGGTACGTAGCAAGTTGTTTCACTGATATTTATATTTTGTTTCTTGTGTGTCCAGGTGAGTGAGAAAATAATCAATCATTGGGTTGGATAGAGGATAGGGATATCCTAACCCTCAGGCAATTGGTTCGATCGGGAAATCAGCAAGGCTCGTTCCCGATCACCCTCGGGTTGGGATTTCCCTGTCCTCTTTCTAACCCAATGATAGATTCTATTAATCCAGTCTGACACGAAAGTTTTAATTGTTGAAAAATGATATAATAACATTTTTCTTAGTATTTCTTTTGTTTAATGAAATATTTATCTTAGCCACAGTAGGGTGCAAAATCGAGCAGCGTTATACGAAAATCGGCAGCGGAATTAATCTCCGTTTGAAAAAAAGCATTACTGATCTCCGAAATAATTGAATCGAAATAGTACCAGTCTGAATGATATTTATCGGTTATTTAACACCGGATTTGACGCTTTGATGCGAAAAACAAAATTAATCACTCAGGCCTACGGCTCTCGTGGTCAATTCCTTTGCAGCTAAACCTCCAAACCGGCGTTTGATAGACAATAAACACCGCTGAGACCGATAATGTTTCATTAACACATTTTCGGTTTTCTTGCGTCCATCTGGAATAGGGCTATTTTGTTTGTACTTTTGACGGGGGATTTCCTTGTCCGTAAACCACACAGGGCAAGTGCTAGACGTTGCGTGAAGATTACTGACGTTACAGGAATGTTATTGTTTTCAGTGTCGTCATGGTTTGTTTATCTTTCATGTAGAGACTCAATCAAATTAGAGTCTGCAATATGCATGTAAATTTGTGGTGATTTATGCTCTCAAAGGACCACCTTTTATCCAGATTTTTAAGCTTTACATCACCATGCGTTAGGGATAATGCACTTTTTCATTGTCAAAAGTGTGCTAATTGAACCCCAATTATATCACTTTTATGTGTTAATTGCAGTCTAAGCAATGATGCGAGCATACAATTTATTGACCTAGTTTCGAGAGCCCTGAAAGACAACACATTATTCTGATAAACATACTGATAAATATTTTGTGTTTAGAAAAATAGGATCTGTTTGACAAACAATAAAAAAACAATGGCCTTTTATTTGTTAATCAGTCACTGATTAAATAGAGATTAAGCATAAAGGTGTAGAAAACACTGATAATAGTGTTGTTATCTATGTGGACATAATTTGTTGATAACTATTTCATGAAAATAACAAACATGTATTAACATATTATATCTAACAGCTGACAGCAGTTTGAATGTATTTTTGACGGAGTAATAAGCATATTGTAGGTAAGTTAGAATTAAATAACATAATTTCATGAACACAAATAAAATTAAAATGTGCCCTTCTAACAAAGTACATGTATCTCTCTTTTTCAAAAAATGGCATGTATTTCATTTACATTCGGCTGCAATATCACAACATTTTATGCTAGTGTATGGTGACGTGTTGCGGAATTTGTTCGCAGATATACTAAAACCCGTGACGCCCGTGACGTCCGTGACGGCATCATCACGGAAAATATAATTTACTGTCACGGGTTATGTCACGGGTTTTGTTATTTTGTTAAGTTAGATTATTTATTTAAATATAAGTTACTAAAGATTTTATTTGATTTTATGAATGATTATTTTACTTTTATCTTTTAATTTACAATAATATCACGTTGCGATCACAACTTTATATTACAATAACGTCACGTGATTGACTTAGTAACGACGTCAGTTAAGATGGTAGAAACATAGAATTAAATGTCATTGAGTACAGACCAAATTCTACGTCTTATACGGTCCGCACCGCCGATATCGGCGCTTCCTTTTAGACCAAGAGGTGGCGAAACGTGGATTTTTAAAGGGGACGGTCTAAAAGCACAGGATTGGCGAGCTGACGGACATCGTTGGATAAACCAAGGCACTGTTGGTCTTCCACGGAAAAATCCGCGGTTAAAGAAAATATATTTTTATATACATACCGAGAATGGGGCATCAAAAGAATTTGTTAAATTTGTTTACCATGAACCTGAATGCATTAACGGTCCTTTTGTAATTCAGTACATCGGCAATGAACAAATCTCACAGCCGATGTCCCATGGAAATTCAAAAAACCAGGAACGCCCTTTTTTAAGATCAAAGCCAAGCAGTCTAGAAAAATGGCTAAATAAAACAAAATCGGAGGATCCGAATTTAGTTTATAAGAAAGAAATTCATGACAACGACGAACAGCCAAGGGACTGTTGAACGCCGCCCTTCCTTGCTGAACTTGATTTTAAAACCATGATTCATAAAGAAGACACTTTGAAAACACTTTTATGATATCGTCAGTCTGTATTTCTCTATTTTAATACTTAGAGAACAAAAAAAAAATGTTAGATTGAGCTTCATGAAATTTTGTTTATTATTACCAAGGAAATAAATTAACAAGAGCATCGAAAAATCAAACAAAACTCTTCCAATAAAGATCAAATCAAGAAACTTGTCTGAAAAAAATGTTTTATTTTAATTATCCTTATGATACAATATCACCTCAAAGGTTGTGGCATTTTTATCCTATATGCATAGTTCATGATTTGTTTATAGAGGTCTACTGGAAAATGTAATATACCAAAAATAGAGGCATAGCATTTATCCACAAGAAGATAACATGTGCTTACCTACACCTTAGACTACAGTGACAACTTTAACATGAGGGTTATGATTAATACAACTTTCATAGAAATCTACAAATTGATGCTATGCAAAAATATTCTAAATATCTTACTAATAGATTTGTGCTATGTATTTGCATTGTGTGTACGTATAATCATGTTAACCTGGGCGAGCAGATTTTTACTCCAATGGTATATCATTTTTTTCCAGACGCTCAGAAGGTTATGCTGCATGCTAAATATCTCGGCATGGTTTTACAAAAAAAAGAAAAGATTTAAATGTGTTGTCCAAACAGACATACAGACAGATTGATGTCTATACGGGACAGTCTGTTGGGACCATATACCATTTGATTCTATCTTCAATTGAGTAATTACAAAACAATAATTGCATTTGACATTGTTAGAATTGGTTCGTGGATTATTGACGTAAAATGCAGGTTAAATTTTGTCTATCTAAATGTACATCTAGACCTTGGCAAGAATGGACTAGATTGAATGTCTGAATTAACCTTAAGTACAATACAATCAACTAACCTACGTTTGAATACGTGGACAAACTCTTCCTGAATATTTAAAAATGGGTTAAGCCTTACACATGTGGATCCATATTCATTTAAAACACTAGGAACGTTAGTTGCGCAAAAGTAATAATCCCTTTCATGAAGGCTATTTGATTAAAGTGCAGTTGTTTTAAACAGTGTTATCAATATAAATATCATTCAACCAGTATTTTATAAGTTGAACAATTATCCGAGTATAAAGAAGATATCGGCCTTACTCCGAATAATTGACGTAATACTTGCACTTTTCTTATCTGACCTGCAATATTTTAAATGCATCCTTTCAATATTTTTGATATATATTATAAGATCATGCAAAACGTTTACAAATGTTATAATGCCTACATGTTCATATACAGCATTCACCTTTACTCATGTAACTTGTAAAGTGCATACCAAACTACTACAAACATAATTACCACACAAGAGAAACCATATACTAGAATCATGTTGTACAGGAACAATAATATATTTTCATTTTATTTCAGACATTTATCAGTTCTTGTCGTCATACACATAACTGGTGTTTTTGAACATCAACTCACTTTCTTTTGACAAAATCATAGGACAGAAATGGCGGGAAGAGATGTGGTTGAAAATATAAATGATACTGACATTCCTCCAGGAAAGGTTGTATTCTTGAACAGTTTCTACAATGTAACTTTTTTATAACTGATTTATTTTGCTTCTGTTTTTCAAATATTTGGTGAAAAATTGTATATGCAATGCAAGAAAATGAAGAAATTTTCTTGTTTCTTGATATTCATTTCATTCACTTATAATTATCCTATTTTGTGTATCAATATAACTAATTTAATTCTTTTAAGAGTGCGTAGCAATGCTGTGGCTTAGTTGGTTATTTAAAAAAAGCAACGTCACAATAACTTTAAGTGGTTTTACACTCATATATTCGAAAACATGCGATGCGCTGGTATAAAGCGGTTCGCCTCTTTGTGTATTTGTGAGCGTGCGTGCATGTGTGTGTTTGTCTGTTATGTGGATTATTTTTGGGGGGTTAAAACCGCTTGTCTAATTTCAAATTAAATTAATAAGATTGTTTATCTGGTAAAGTCCAAAGTTCCAAAGTAGTTGAAAGATTTTGATTCCATGTTGCACAACGCCCCCAAAAAATATTAAAAGAAGAAGTTTGAATGAACTCTCTTCAAGAACCACAAATCCTAGAACATAAATAATTTACATAAGGCGTCATCTTATGGATCACGAACAAGATTATGGGCTAGGAGAAAAAATACCCCATTCCGGTAGTCAAGTGTTTTCCGTCAAGTCTAGCAAACATCTAAAAAGCATGAACATTTTTCTAGTGGACTTCTACAACTATTGTTCAAATGCTAGTAATTGGTTGGTAATTGGCTTTACCCCGGGAGTCATAGGTCCTACCTTTATACATGTAATAGATATTCTAAAAAATATTGTACTGAACAATGTAAGGCAAAAGCTTAGATATTTGACATGAATCATTGTCTAGTGGACCTCTACAAATATTTTTTTTTAATTTTAGTAATACGGTCAAAATTGGCTTCTCATTGGGCTCTCTTTATACACGTTATAGATATGTCATTTTAATTATTTTGAACAATGAAAGGCAAGAGCTTTTATATTTGACATGAATCATTGTCTAGTGGACAGCTTCAAAGTTTCTGCCATGAGTTTTCCTTAGATGCTCAATTCGTTTGTTATTTGACATACAGCTATACAGTTTGAACCAAAAGCATGGTTTCAGATATTGAACTGAACTCTTATTTTAGCTGATACATATCTTGACGTAGTGACCTACTTTTTAAGATACAGCTATGAAACTTGGACCATGTGTACAGTTTCAGATAAAGAATAGATGGCTTTCTATATTAATGTTATTTTTTCTCTCAAATGCCTCTTATTTATTTTCTTTTTGTTTATTTTCTATGATTGTATGGTCACTATATTTCGTACTTCTAAATTTCTATTTTAATTTGTTTACAATATTTTTATGTTCTTTTTAAATTTCATTTTGTACCCCTCTTTATAAAGGGAATAACTACATGCGATTTTCTTTATTTTTATTGTTTACCATATTAAAAATGTACCTATCACACCCCCATCCCCGATAACGACGATAACGAAATATTAATTATTTGATTCTATAAATTAATATTTAACACATTTTATATATGTTATCATTATTTTTCCCTTAACTTAACACAAGAGCATATAACCCCGTGTACAAAATTTTTCTATCCAATGCCTTTTTCAGAAACCGGTCAAATAAGAACAAGGGTCATCAGTGATGACATGTTTTGCCACACGATAGCCATAACTCAGCAAAATGTCATTCAATCTCAAAACCTGTGTAATATGCACAAAAATTTGAGTTATTGATCAATCCTGTAAAATTTCATTGAAATTGCATTAGTGGTACACTAGGAGTAGTCCGGACAAATTTCAAAATTAAAATCATGAAAGGGCAAAATCTTTGACAAAATCTATAAACCGAAAACTGTTGATGAGATGCACAACTAGACATGGTACTGATCATTCTCATTAAGTAGTTTCTGAGGAGTAGTCCAGACAAACTTCTGTGTACTGGCAACACGAAACAAAGCACCTTTTTATTAAAGGGCAATTACTCCGCAAACAATCATTCAAGCAAAAATATTATGTATTATGCACAAGTACTTGACCTACCCATCAATCCTGTACAGTTTCATTAAAATTGCATTAATGGTACATGAGAAGTAGTCCGGACAAACTTTATTATCAGGGGTCATAGCTGGGCCAAAATTCATTCAAGCGGTAAACGCGTGTTATATGCGCAAGTACATGAGCTGCCAATCATCCTGAAAAGTTTCATTGACATTGCATTAGTGGTATAAAAGGGATTAGTCCGGACAAACTATGAAAAATAATTAAAGGGCGATAACTCTGACAAAATATTGAAACATAAAGGCCGATGATATGCACATCTATACTTGGCACTGATCATTCCTGTAAAGTTTGGATCAAATTGAACCAGTAGATATTTATGAGTAGTCCGGACAAATGTTTGTGTATCTGGCAACACAAAAAAATCATTTTTTATTAAAGGGCCATAACTCGACCAAAACTCATTAAACCTAAAAATCCGTGCAATATGCACAAGGACTTGAGCTACAGATCAATCCGATAAAATTCCATTGAAATTGCATAAGTGGTATAAAAAAGAGTAGAGGAGTAGTCCGGATAAACTTTAATAAAAATGAAAATTATTAAAGGGCCATAACTCAAGCAAAAATCATTGGGCCGACAAATGCTGACATTATGCACATCTATACTTTGTACTGATCATTCCTGTAAAGTTTGGATAAAATTGCACCAGTAGTTGTTTATGGGGAGTAGTCCGCACAAGTTTTGTGACGGACAGATGGACAGACTGGCGTTCTAACGGGACAGGAATAATGTGGCTACTCTATTGTTCTCTCTGACTATTGTTTTTTTTAAGTCGCACAAAAGAAAATAGCCACATGAAAGCATTACGGAATGAATGATATCAAAGAGGAAGAACAGTTACCTATTGTACCTCTGGCCACATTATTACTGTGCGGACAGACAATATGACGGAGAAGTGATCCCTATATGTCGCCACTACTCCGTAGAGGCGACACAAAAAGAGACCTCACATATTCAAATGTCATAATATCTTGTTTTGAAAATGTACATGCATTAAAACAACACTGACACGTAGGCTCTGTCTACTCCGTTTGAAGGCACATGACAACATGGCATTTTGAGTGTGTTTTATTTATAAGGCTTCAGTAACCCTTATTTCTAATGTTCGCATTTTTATGTAAACAAAGGCTCAAGTTTTAAGTAAAAAATTTACAACAATCAGTGGTACCATTTTGATAATTAAATGGGTTGTGGAAGTTGTTTTAATTATTAGATTTTGCAATTTTATTGCAATTTAGAAGAACAAAAGTGAGAATGGACACTTAAGTTTTAGTAGCGTAATCGTTAGTACGCGCAGGTTATGAAAATGGTTTTTCTAGTTCCAATTTTAAAATTTTGGAGTATGGTTTTTACTTTCAGAATATCTATATTTCATAGTTTGTCGCGTAACATTTCATTTCTTCTTTTATGACCCTGTAATTTATTTAATGTTTTGCACAATTCAAAGTTACACGATTATAAGGAATCAAATTTATTTGACTTTTACAAAGTCATTGAACAGATTGAATAGTATTACTAATTTAAGTCTGTTTAAAAAGTCTGCCACATTTTAAAGTCAGTAAAAAAATTTAAAAAAAATGAAATAAAAAGATATATTAAAGGAAAGAACTTCAAGGGAGAAAAAGGAAATAAAATAAATTTACAATTACAGAGTGTAAAATATTACGGTATGAAACCATAATCATATTGTTATCGCTAGTCATGTAAGACAGAGATATTTTTAAGGAATATCGGAAATAAAATCCAAACTGTTGACGTATCAAAGTTGGTAAGGATGTTTTAATCAGATTGGAATTCAACAGTCTGAGCTGTATTTGTTTGTTTCTTACACTTTTTGTTTTGTATTTTTGATTTGTTTATGAATTATCAAAGCTTTTCATATGTTATGCAGTTTTCATATCGTTTTTTAGATAATCTCATATCTCATTTTTGCTAGAAGAAAATTTATTTTATTGCATATCATTTAATTACATATTGAAATTCAACATATCCCTGTAGTTCAGAAATCATATGTACATGCTTTGCGTAATTCTTTTCGTGATACTTTTAGGAGGAACAGAGACGCAGGCCATGGTATAAAAGGTATAATATTGATGTAAAATAGTTATAGTTATGTTGTAGTTATTGTTTTTATTTCGGAATCTCTGTGCATACAAACAAACACTTTGTAGTTATAAAATGATTAGAATTCACTTTAAAGGTCTGATGCATAACAGAGCTACATATAGAAAATGTAAATGGACACGTTTAGATTGTTCGTAATACAGATTCGTATAAAAATATTCGTACATATCGGCAACATTGTTAGTTTTATCTTAATTTATTGTTACTTTACAGAAATAAAAAAGCTAAAGTGTTTATTTATCTACACTCGGATGATTTAAAAAGGTTCAAGAATAGATTAAAAAAGCGCATAAAAGTGAAACGAGAAGACAATCGTTCGAACAATGGCTCACCAAAAAGCAAAAAGAGGACAATCATCGTTGTAAGACACGCCTCGTCTCGAATAGACTCAGATGTAAAAGGTTGTTGCAAAGATATACAAGGTTTGCTTTACATACTTTTTTAAAAAGATTATAATTTATAAAGCACAAAAAATTTCAAAGACACTACCAATGTTGCCATACAAAACACATCAACATACTTCACATAATTGACGATGGTTATGATAGGGAGACAATCGAATTTGAAATCAAGGGCTCGCTGGTTTGAACTTTGGACAAACGATGTGTTTTCCCTTGGCAAAAAGTCTCGGACTGCTAATAGTTATTTGTCCCTCATCGTTGATTCAAACATCGTGTGATTTGGTAGCCGGTCAATTGCTGTGAAATTAATTCATACAAAAAGCGGTTAGGTGCACCGATCTAAAAATATAAAATAAATAAAAAAAACAACAAAAAACAACAACAATTAAACAAACAAAAACAAGTTTTCCTTAGCTATTTTACTTGCTCATATATATTGTACAACAAAAGATTTTGCATGTGATTTTGCATGTATCAAATCGTTTGAAATAAGTGTTTGTAATTTAAATCAATGCTATAGTACGCACGTGCAAGCTAGTAAAAACTCAAATTATAATAATTGGATCAATATTGTACTATCTCAATCAATCTTTATACGAGTAACTTAAATAGTTAATAAATGGACTTTTTCTTGTTTTCCATAACTAAATAACTTCAAGTGTTCTGTCTATGTAATATAAAAACATGCATTAAACATATAAATGTTAATTGTTTTTTCAGATCAATGTTATGTTTACAAGAGTGATAAGTTTAGTGAATGATTTTCTATGTTTTGATTCTTTTTCAGAATCGGATATCAAACGTACTATTGTTGTTATTGTTTTTGGATTTAAAAGTAATCAAAACGACTGCCATGGTATGGAAATACGTCCCAAGACCTTAAATCCTGAAGATGAAGAAGACAAAAAGTTAGAGAATCTTAAGGGCATTGTAGAAATAAACTATAAATGTTCAAAGTGGAGAACCAACTGCAAAGACTGTAAAAATGCTTTGAAAATTCTAAAAATGCAAGTAAAGTCACCAAACGACTACTAAATGATCAATATTATATGAAAGCACTAACTAGTATATTATTTACAAATCATGTCATAAATAGTATATGCAAAGAAATTTTCACTGTCTAGGTACCATGTAATATTAAACGAAAGACAGGCTCAATGCTGGTCATATTCTACTGAACATATTTCAATTTGTTGAATAAAGTCGGAATAATTTATCAATTGAATTTAAACTTGAGATCTTTAAAGTTTAAATATACATGTTAGTTTTAATGGATTTCAGTTTCTCTCTATTTTGCATGTCATGTTATTTGCGTTGTCGGATTATTACTATTGTTAACGGAGTATCCTTTTATCTGTTATCAATATCCATATAACAATTGTTGAAGAACATCATTAGTTATATACCTTACATTATGACTTATCAGCCGCGTTATTATACATGTCTAATTACAATTTGCTCACTTTACTACTTGCACAACACTAATGTAATTGACATGTTGGCATTACGATACAGTATTTAAAATTGTTTTAAACTGGTCGTATTGGTTTCAAAATATTTAATAACTACGAATAGTCTGGCAGTTTACATAATACGTATTTATTCAGTCAGCTTAAATTTAGGCATCAACGATTGTTCTTCAAATTTAATGTATCTTTAAAAATTCTTTAAAAATTAATGTTGGTTAACTTAACAGGTGTTAAGACAATAAATGGTTTTGTATGTTTGCACTTAAATCCCTATTATTTTCATTAAACTATTATCTAATCTGGACAATTTGTGCTCCTAAAGACTACTTGTTTTGAAAAAGTATAAATGCAAATGACAAAGTAATTAATATTTTTACCATTTTACTAATCAGTGTGTTTCTTTTGGAATAAAGCGGCTCTTAATTGTTTCTGCATTAAGCCAATAATTGTATTTAACTGAGTAATTTTATAACCTATTTGCAAAATCACTAATGCAATACAATTTTGCCGTACATGTGCTTTGCGTAATGGAACGTGATCTTCTCGACTTTATTTACATTGTTTGACCTAGTGTAGCTTAAACTTGGTCTACTAGTCAATGAAAGATTGTATCATAAAGGAAATGCTGATTAAACCTTTAATTTGTCACAATAAATTCAATTATTAATACTTGAGTCACGTTTTGAAACTTTTCCGAACATAGACTTTTGAAATAGAAAAGACGGAATCCTAAAAAACAACAAATAATAAAACGCTCAAAAGCGCTAAAAGGAAACAGTTAGGGCATATCTATGGATGTTAGAGGAAGTCTTTGCTACCGTTCACGTTCTATAGCAAGCACCATTGCAGGGTTGACTTAGTTAACTTAACCATCCAACTAAAATTATGTCTAATAAAAGATACTCAAATACCACAACTGAAATAATGTCATGCAGGAAGATCTTCAAGAATTGAAAATACAACGTCTCTAATTGAATGTACGGGCGATAATTGCGGCACACATTATTTGACAATAAACTTGAATAAGTCTTAATAAAAGGTAAATACAGCAACAGGTGCGTAAAATCTCGACCAATGAAATCGTGTTTAGTTAAATGCATATTCGTCGACTGCAAAAGTAAACAACTATCAGACACAAAATAGCATCGCCCAAGGTGTATGTCTTGCCAATATAAAAGGCAAAACTATCTCCAAACTAAATTATTCCAAACGGAGCCCAGAATAATAATATTATTTCTAGAATTAACGTTTCACAAAATGTCGTTATTAACGAGCGTTTTAATTGGTCTTAATCGCCTCAAGTAACCGTGAAGCAACCTATGAAAAAGCTTTCTTTGACACACCTCTTATCGATTGGATATCGGCGAAAAGTCCCACGGCTGATAAATGTTAATGGTTCGACCGTGGGTCAATGTGGGTATCCGACTATGCAGCCTAGTAAACAACAAAGACATGAATTTCGTCCAAGGCATTTTAAAAATGGTTCATTTGATTAAATCTATAATCATAATAACGAACAAATAATTTGTATTGGTAGATTTTCTTTGTTCGGATTTAACGGCAGATTGACAGATAACTGCCCATACCACACACTGTATAGTATAGGTAAGTTATTTCTTGTAAAATTCAAAGTTTAAAAAATCAAGATAAAGAATTCAGGGGATCGAACTAATAAAGGTTCGATACTTTTTAAGCGGGATGAAATGGTACGATACGGAATAATGTTGAAGGGAAAGTGAAAACAACGTAAGATATAGAACCGCTTTTTCAATTACATGTCTAATATTGCAAATTTTGCTCGAATAATATCGTGGATGCAGAGCAGAAGATGTATTTGTATATAATGGTGAAAATTGTAAAAAAATAATATATTTCATAGAAATGAGAAAGTTATTAAGGTGATTCCTTACGATGAGTTTTTATCCGACTGACTCGTATGACACAAACGCAGTTTAACGAAACACTTGACATTTGTTACAAGCGTAACACTAAGAAACAGCCATGTAACACTTGTAAAAATCAGTTTTGTGCCCTGTCTTATCTCATTTCACGACATATATATGTTCTCTATTCATTGACAATTAGTTGCTGGTATAGTGTAAAGTATATTCGTTTAATGAACAATAAACTATATCATACTTTAATGTGTATAACCATAGCATGTGTGTGTGCGTGTGCGTGCGTGCGTTGGTGCGTACGTGCGTGTGTGTGTGTGTGTGTGTACTTACGATTGTGGAATGTGTGCGACAAGCCGTATTTAATTGTAGAAAATATTGTCTGGGTGTAGTCTTTAGCCCGTATGTATGTCACAAATATAGTATGATATTAAGCAGAAAACCAGATATCAAGATGTTATAATTATTTTATAAGAAATTTTGTAGAAAAATAAACGCCAACAAGAGAATTTACATTTATTTCACTGTACAACAATTGAAAATAGTTACTTTATACAAACATAGATCATTTTAAATAAACAAGATGTAAAATGTTTCTAAAGAATAGTACACACGTGTGATTATATAACGCGGCGAAGTAATAATAATCATATGGTGGAGATATGATTATATTTTTAACTTCTTACGTAACTTACAAAATTATGTTTTACTCTTGCTTTAAATAAATCGCAATATCCTTTTCATTTTGTAATTATTCAGAGAATATTTTACCCCTCTCAAAATCTTAAGCTATTTATCTCTTTGTTTAAACAATTTCTTTGCCGCCATCATAGTATCTCAGTATTTGCTCAAGGGTTACAGAGTGGTACAATGTATCGACTAGTCAATATTTGTACACAATCTCATCTATCAAAAACACCAAAAACAGTTATAATGCTTGTCAAATTTACCTTCAGGTCATATTTTCCAAAAGGCACCCGGACTAGTAAGGTATTAATTTTGACAGTGTAATAAAAAAACTATATATCAGATGAACTTTGGAACAGTCGAATTTAGGAAAAAAAAATCTCAGATATTGAAGAATTGCACACGTCTTACACGATTATTTTTAAGGACCTTAATGATAACCTAAAATGTTTAGGTGCGGAGTGGATGATATAGTGTATTGTCACACTAAAACATTTTATCTGTTCTGTTTGTTTTATCGCAATACAGATCGTTTTCAAAGCTATATTTTCCTTGTTAATGTCTCACGTTTAGGTATTTTGAAACACAAACACCAAAACACTTCGCGTTAGACTTCATGAATGTGATGATTAGAGGCAGTGTGTTAATTGCGACAATAAAAGTGATCTGAAGCGGAATGATGTTGATTGTAATGATAATGATGATTGTGGTGATGATGATTGAGATGGTAAAAACACATGTTGCGCCTGTTACACATGCTACTCACAAAAGGTGATGGCAAATGTCATTCGGGAACGGAGTCGAATGCCTTTTGACAGTCGATGAAAGCAGGGTGCAAACGTTTCCCTTCGAATTGTGCGTTAGTTATTGTTTCGTGAATTTAAAACGGGCATTTATACTGAAGTAAACAATTCTGCAATATTTGGGTCATCACCGGGTTGTTTCTTTAAAAGTGGTATAATAACACCATCCGAGATGTATTATGTGTAACTCAGGATTAAACTGAATGCATTACCCCCACAATCATTATCAAGTACAAGACGTTTAAATAAAATCCCGCTTGAACTTGAAAAGAATGACAAACTGACTTATTAGTATGAAAAACAAATAACAAATATAAAAGCGTTCAATAAAATTACACCGTACAATCATTAATGTACTTTTTTAAAATAACTATTGTGCTACATGATTGATTCGTCTATCTGTTTTTCAATAAAAAGAACTAAGAATAAAACGAAAGTATGGATTAACAATAATCATTATTATTAACTCCTTCGGCATAACTAATCATGAAATTTTAATTATTTTAAGCATTTTGGTAAATATACATTATCACACAGCCGAGCCGATTTCGCGACTCCGTAAAAATTGTATGGCACGGCCGTGTATATATTTTGACGTGACGTCATTTGCGTTATACAAACATAGTGTGAAGACGCGTATACCATAGGCGCGTCAATGAAAACCGAATCGTTTTTCACTTTATACGGTCTTTATTTTGAGTATGTGATAAATAGAATATTAAATTCGTGTAAAGTTCATAACTGAATTTATTGAACTTGTTAAATAAAATAATATTTTAATATAATTTTATTCAACTCGTGCAATAAATTCAGTATTGAACTAACACGAATTGTATATTTTATTTATCACAAACGGTTCTTACGTTACTTTTACATCTACGCAAAAGCTTTGTTTAATTCAGGTGATCGAGTTATAAACTCCGTATCAAACTAGGTAGGCATATGGGGATACTCAGAGATGATAGGCTATATACATATTGTCTTGAGCAGGAGATAAAAGTGGTAGATTATGAATTTAATGCTTAAATGTCTACAAATAACATACACGATTTGTTAAATATATATTGGTTGATTCTCACAATAGTTAAATGAATTAAGCGTTTTTGTCCTATGCAAAATAAAAAAAATGTATTTATTAAAGTTGTTATTGTTATTATTAAGTTGTGTATTTTTTCTAAGTAACTACACCTATTGTTATCTAAATATCGACACACTTTAAAAAGAAAACACAGGGTAACTTGACAAAATGACTACTGAGTTATCAATGACAACACTTTTCTACAGGTAAGTTGGTTTGTATGTAAATTTTGATTTTTTTTAATATCCTCATTCCTTAAAGCAATGGCACACTCGGTTTAAGGTCTCAGCCTCCTATCTTTTGATTTGGTAAAGTTATTGAAGAAATTTACTGGTCCTAAAGATATCATGAGATTTTACAAGTGACAATCCAGGGCGGTTTTAATGCTCATTTAGGTTTTTAAAATTGCCAAAAAAGACAAAAAAAATACGAGTATATGTCAATACTGTGTAAATGTTTCAATTTTCATGCTCCAAATAAAGCCTCAATACACAGAAGTCAATGATCGTATGATATATCATAAAAATAATCTACTGATTGTACCAGAAAAGTTTGATATTTTTTCTCGGGATTGTTAGACTTATCATTTTGAATGTAACTTATAACTATATAATGTTTTATTTGGGGGATGTTTACAAATCTCAATTATCCAAGGAATTTAAATAGAAACTTTGTTTCCGATACTCCTATATATTATTTTATAATTTGGACGCGTATACGTCTCAGAAAGATTCTTTATTTTATTACATAGTTATACAATGGCCAATGAGATAACCTAATTTCAGTTTGTATTTTTTAAAATAACCTGCAAAATAAAAAGACCTTTCTAGTGATTATTTATAATAATATAAATTTAAGTTTTAAATGAATTAATGTTAATCTTTAGAAGGACAAAGTATGCTTTTTATTGACAATTGGTTGTCCTATTTACATCTCTTTATTTTAAATACGGTAGAAAAAAATCTTTTGGACAAATTAAGGGTAAATCTTTGTTTTAAGGTAATATTGAGGTTGACTAACACAATTTTTTACATGCTTTTCGGTGGTTTATAGAAATATATCAGTGATATAAAACTGGTAATTTCATTGTTTGAAACAGTATAATTACCACTTTGATAATTTCACTGTTTTGAATTTATGTCCCTTACGTTGTTTCAGTGAAACACCAGCATGCACAGTACTTGGTACCAAA